AAGGTGCGAGTGCGGCAAAAAATGCATGATGAAAGACTGTTGGGATGATGGTGAAAGTTGGACGTCGCTACTGGATGTGTATGAACAAGTTTTACAGGGTTCCCGATGAACCTGCTTGCAATTTTGAGGAATGGATTGATGGACCTTGTCAGCAAGAATAGTACAAAGATTCTTTGCAGTATCTTTATGATTTGACCAAAAAACAGTGGGAATATGAACGACAATACAAACGAGAAGTTGCAGAGTTGAAGGAGAAACTCAAAGAGGTGGAAGAAGAACAAAATAAGCTGGAAGAAAAATTTAAGTGGTTAGGGCAGAGAATACTAGGCGGTGGTGACTAAACAATGACATGTATGTGTTGAGCGTAGTAGTATATCTTTATGTTTCCCGTGTCATGTGTTTTCATTAGTTGTCCTGAATTTACGTTATGTTAAGTTTCTATGTTTCTATTTGTTTTGTAGTGTTAAAATAAAGAAGAAACGGGGTAATAAAAATATAATGCGCATATTATGTAAGCATAAAAAATTGTTTTATTATTTACATAAAATACAAAAAAAGAACATCAATGTGTCCCACATTCTTTGTGTTTCAATGCAGCCGCTGGCCTAAGGTGTATCCCCTCCCACCCAGATACACTATCAGAATCATCCTCATCACGTCGCCTCTTTATACGAGGATGCATTACAGCATGATCGTCAGTAGGGCTGGTAGGATCGATAGAAGGGGTCGTCGGTCCATCAGCAACCTACAAAATAATAAGTAAGCTCAGTATATGAAAATGTATCTTAGTTATGTACTTGTTAAGTCAAAAACATTTTCTTACCATTGTCTCGTCGGGCTCCTGAATATAAGCATCCGTGGTGTCCTGCTCAGCATCGCACAAAGTGGCCTCCGTGATGGGCTGGGATGAAGCCTTCATAAGAAAATTAGAAATTAATTTATGGCGAATCAATGAGAAAAAAACAAATTAAAATTTAATAGTAATACAAACATATCTGCGCCTGTGACAGATCCACAACACCCGTCGACGACGAGCCAAAACTCAGCCCGTGCTCACCATCCAAGTCTCGGGTCGGCCGATCCTCAGCTGCGGTCGATGGGCCTGAAAAGAACTGCTCCCAATCTCTGGTGAAGCTCGTGCCCGTAATCAACAATGGATCTGACGGGGTCACCTGCGATGTAGGTAGCGCAAGTTGAAGGTTGTACGACGGCATGCTGCTGGGATGCTTGTCTGGCTGAGGGAGGTAACCCGGCAGATCAGCTCCAACCTCCTCTTCAGGTGCCTTAACAAGTGACTCAACGCCCCCTTGTTGGGGACCACCTCTTCGCCGGCCCCCACGACCCCGTGGGGAACCCCTACCTCGTGGGACAGCCCTGCCTCGTGGGATAGCCCTGCCTCGTGCCCGTGCCCTCGTGCATGGGACAGACCTACCCTGATGGTAATGCTCTGGCGCCACATAACCAGGGTTGTGATCTAAGCGCTCGTACTCTCTGGCTCGATGCGTGTCTAGGCAGCCAGCTCTGTCACCCGCCGGCCATACTCCTACAAAGCGACCACAGGATCGCCGGCATGCTGTTGCATCTGTAGTCCCAACTGGTGGACTAAATGTAGACCAATAGCCTGCACAACATGTAAAATATAAATTACAGAACGCTATATCACAGTTATAAGTAAGAATACCAAACATACTAGTGCCTCGTGCCTCCCGGCGTATGGAACATACCGACCACCAGCTTGATGGTTGGGGTTCCTGATGATAAGTCGGGTAACGCCGTGGTATCAGGGCATATATTCATGCTCATTATCCTGCTGACTCGGTGAAGGGGGGAGGGGGGGCGGAATTAGGTCAGCTCGCCGGTCCCGTGTATCGATCTGCTCCTCTAGCCATGCCAAAAATACGTAGTCCACCCTGGTCCGATCATCCCGCTGGTATTATGTGGTCTCCCAGGTGGGCGGTGCCGGTACGAGCTACGGCCTGCCAAACTAGCGAAGTACCCGCTCGATGGCATGATGCTCCATAATATCAAGGCAGAACAACGGGACAGAAGCGCCCCACATAAGTCGGTCGGCCGAGCAATAATCGGGCAAGCCACCTATCGTCGCATCGCTGTATGGCGTCCAGATGAACTATTAAGGAAGAACAAAAAACGTCAGTATACGCAACTTGTGTTTGAAGCAATGACAACTAAACTTAGATATACATTTACCTGTGCGCCATCCAGCAAATCCAATATATCTCTACACAAGGAGAGATTATGATGAGCCTCGTTCTCGCGCGTATTTCCCCGTCGGAGTACCCACCTCCTAGCTAGAGGGAGCAACTTAGGTGGTACAACCGAAACTAATGGTGGTAGAGGTGGCTGGAACTGCAGAAACCGCTCCCAGGCCCAAACCTAACATAAAAACTTGACATCAAATTTAAGATATATTTTTACTAGGTATGTTAAAATGAATAGAGTATTTGAATATGTTATCACATGTAGTAGCGGCAAGAATCCACCAACCTCACACTGGGTGCCCATGCTCGCCCGGCACATGCATCTGTACAAGTAGGCGAGAACAGCAAAGCCCCAGCTGTACTAGGGTAAATCTCACACTGGCCCCATGCAGTACAGTCTCATCCTCTGGCCGGAAAGCAGTGAGCCGCTGCAGCGTGTCCAGGTACTGCACACGTGTCATCTCTCTCATGCCAGGCGGCAGTGAAACGACCAGCCCATTAACGGGCAGCCCATGCAAAACCTCCACGTCCTGCAGTGTGACGGCGGCCTCGCCAATGGGCAGGTGGAAAGTGTGTGACTCCGGCCTCCACATCTATCAGGGCCGTGATCAAGGACCAATCGAGCTGCAGCCGCCCGATCTCAATCATCCTGTAGAAACCAGTGTCTCGCATGCGCGCGACTACACGGGCATGGAGAACTCTGTCATGCAGAAAGTCCCACATGTCGTCTACTCTCCTGGCGCGGAGAGTCTGGGTCAGTAACTCACCCTCCCATATGTGGGCTGGCCTATGGTCGCCCTGTAACGAGAGTAGCTTATCGCTAAAAGGTCCGGGATGAATAGGTGGCGCCTCCATGTCGTCTACTGTAAATTAAACAACATTAATTACATGTTAGTTTTATTATAATTTTATATGTTTGTTTTTGGATTAAATAATTAATTTTTATAATTAATATTGACATATGGGTTCCAGGCTAGATATTTGCGACCTAGTAGCACCAATTCATCGATGTGTTAGTTTTATCATAATTTTATATGTTAGTTTGTAAATTAAATAATTAATATTTATAATTAAATAATCACATATGGGTTCCAGGCTCGATATTTGCGGCCCAGTAGCACCAATTCTTCGATGTGTTAGTTTTATCATAATTTTATATGTTAGTTTGTAAATTAAATAATTAATTTTTATACTTAAATATTCACATATGGGTTTCAGGCTCCATATTTGGAGCCCGGTAGCACCAATTTATCCTGAATTCTTGTATGTGTTATTTTATTATAATTTTATATGTTAGTTTGTAAATTAAATAATTAATTTTTACAATTAAATATTCACATATAGGTTCCAGGCTCGATATTTGCGGCCCAGTAGCACCAAATATATGTTGACTATAGTTGGACGGAGTTTGTGTTTGTTCTATCAGTTATTTTGACGTATTTTTGGGTATAAGAGATACTTCAACTACAGGAAAACTATGCTAAAAGGCACTACATTTTATTACACTAAAAGGCACTACATTATACTACGGTAAAAGGCACTACAAGCTCCTACGCTAAAAGGCGTTATATTTTACTACCCTAAAAGGCATTTCGATTTACAAGTCTTTAAGCAAAAAAATAATTTAAACCAGATAAAACACAACAAATACATTGTAATCACAAAAATACATATAAAACAGTAATAGCATTATTATTAACAAATAATAACAATTTCACAATTTTTATATTTTTTTTACAACATTAATATCTTAGTCCGGATAAAAATAACATACCAATTTAATTGCAAAAAAAACACAAAACAACATACAACACATTCAAAACAACTAATATGCACTATTTATACGAGTTTGGACATAAACAAAATCGGAATACCTCGATTTATGTTTTCCGGAAAGTTGAAGAATTGAAAATTTGACACTGAAACAAGCAACCCATAACAATAGAAGGCTTTGCTAGGATGTGGGACCAACAATATCTAATTTTTATGGGATGGGTGGGGTCCACTCGAGCTTTTTTTGTTGTTAATGGAGGGGGGGAGGCGACCGTTTTTTTTAAAAAAAAAAAAGGAAGGGGAAGACTGGGCAGAACGTGGGGGAAAGGATTTCGATATTTATATATATAAAACGCGGTTCATTACCGCGCTTTATGTAGAACGATGTAATGAACCGCGTTTTATATACCAGTCTTTTCAGCTCCCTTTAAAGCTGTTAAAGTAAAACGCGATTATTAACCGCGTTTTACATAATTTTTATTTTTTTACACTTAAAAACATATTTTGAGTAAAAAAGAACCACATTTAGATTCCGTTCAAATCCCAATCGAAATAGAGAAGGAACAATGAATCTGTCATCTGTCATATAAAAATCAGTACGTAGAAACTGGTAACTGTACAAAAGTCGTCTGCAGTTGGATCAAAACCAATAGCTTAGGAAGGCAAAATTCAAGAAGTTAGAAACCAACAACCCAATTTGCCATAGGCACTAAATCACGGGGGCAAATAAAAATACAAAATCGGTACAATAATTAAAAAATACCCTCTATTTTTGTCCTTTATGCCTACGTGGCAAGAGGCAAGTCATCGCACTCACGCTTTTTACATGACACATGTAGATACTTCCAATTCACCCTCCATAAAGCTCACTCCGTCGCCGGCTCCACCGTTCTTGCTGTACCCCCTCACGTGCTTCTCCCACACGTGATACTCACTCAACGTTATTTCAGGTCAACTCCGTCAGCAAATCTAACGGCGTTTGAAAACGTATATAAGCACTGTTAGTCCTCTCCATTTTTCAAACCTTTTTCTCAAAAGTGAAATAAATATAAAGTTAAAGTGCTTATTAGTTGTTTCAGTATGAAGACTGTACTTTTCCGAACCTCTTCCGGCTCAATTCCGGTCCAGACGCCGGTAGTTCCCGGTACATCTAAGGTTTCCGTTCCGGGTCGTGAATCCATCAGTGGAGTGCTTAACGGAGAGAAGAAGAAAGGATGTTCTTTTCCTAGGGTTTCTCTGCATTTGGAAGTAAGCCGTCGGAGTATACGCCGGGCTTCTTCGGAGTCCAACGTGATCCGGTCGGCGATTGAAGGCCCTGGTGTAACAAGGACGTTGAGTAAGGTCGGATCGACGTCATTTCCGGCAATAATACCGGAGGAGGATTGTGGTACCGAGCAGGACGAGTTGGAGGTTTTGCGAAGTATTGGATCGCTGAGTTTAACGGAAGATCAAAGTAGTTATGCTGAAGATTGGCCGCAGAGCGGTATTCCTACCGATGAGCTCGGATTTCCCGGCGGTGGAATCGGCAAAAACAGAAAGTTCCCCGGCGGAGGCGGCGGTAGAGGTGAATCGGACGCTAGTAGTAACTCCGATCCGAAGAAAATTGGAGCGTACTATAAGCAAATGTTGAAGTCCGATCCTATGAATTCTCTTTTTCTTAGAAACTATGGCAAGTACTTGCATGAGGTAGTAATTTAATTTCTACTATTTCCCATCATCGAAGTTTGAATATATAGAGACTATAGTTTGGATTGATTTATTAAACTAATGCTGATGATAATAATTGAAGGTGGAGAGAGATTATGTGAAAGCTGAAGAATGCTACGGAAGAGCTATACTGGCAAGTCCAGGAGATGGAGAAGTGCTTTCTATGTATGGCAAATTGGTTTGGGAGAGTGAACAACACGAGAGTAGAGCCAAATCTTACTTCGATCAAGCTGTTCAAGCTTCTCCTGACGACTGGTAAAGTTACTCCCTTACGTTTTATCTTTCAAAACAAATCTCATTCAATTCGTAGATCAAAAAATTAATTGTAATACATGTTTAAATATTGGATCGATCTGACTGAAATGATTTGTTGTAATAACAGCACTGTGTTGGGATCGTATGCAAAATTTATGTGGGAAGCAGAAGAGGACGATGAAAAAGAAGAAGAGATGGAGAGAAAAACGGTAGCAGCAGGAGCTGCCATGATTACAGCTTACTAACAGGAAACAGGTAGAAAAAGCGGAGTAATAAAAATTTCTATATGCTCACCTTCTTCGGCTTCAATTTGGAAAGCTAGTATTAGAGCTAACTTATGTTCTATGCACTTGTAAAATGTTTAACGTAATATAATGCTGTAATAAAAGAGGAATATGTAACTAAAATTAATTAACTACATCAATGAGGGGAAGTCGATCGATCGAGGAAGAGAAGAAACTGGAAATTATGAGGGTCCTCTTTGTACAGCTCTTTAACTATTTGTGCTCTTGTAATTCTGATTTAGCTCTGGAATGAGATTATTAAGCCTTCCCTTTTGTGTATCAACATTTGGATAGTCATTTACCTGGGTTGTTGAAGTTAGTATGTTCCAGATCGATAATCCAAAAAGGCTTTTGAAATTCTTTTAGGTAAGGAACTTCTATAAATAAAAAAGACCTAAACAAAAAGGATTTTTATTTTTACTTCTAAGATTTAAAGTGTATGGGTTCTTTCAATGATATGAGTAATTTTATATTGTGTCTCACACAACTTACACTAGTTGTGTGATGCCTCTTTTTATCTCACATATTTGTGGACGCATATCTTACACATCTGGGTCCACAAAATTCTGGGACCACACAGTTGTGAGACAAATTAAAAAAGAGGCCTCACACAATTAGCGTCAGTTATGTGAGGCACAAAATAAAATTTTTCCAATGATCTCTAGTTAATGAATTTCTTATTATATACATGGTACGAACAAAAGTTATTGGGTTCCGTTGAACATGTATATAATGCTTTGGATCCGCCCCTGCTACACATGATATAGACTAGCTTTATTCTTTACAAAGAAAAGCACTAACAGAACCCGCAAATACATACCTCCACTATAAAGAAATGGAATTCACTGATATATAGCATCCTTATAAGTTATAATGTTATAAGATTGTAAGCCTAGCTAGCTGAACCAGAACTAATAGAGGTTAAATAACAAATCTTAAAATTCAAACAAATTAAACTAAAAAGTCTTACATGTTACTAATAACTTGTACATAACCACAGGTCAATTATAAATTAAAATAGTATTCGTGCTAGTGAAGAAGAATGTGAAATTATAGTTGAAATGATTGCTTTGTTTCAAAAAAGAAAATTCAAAGTTGCCTCGCGTTGAACCCGCCCCGCCCCGCTTTAAAAATTTTAAAAATTGTTTTAACCTACCCCGTCCCGCACCCGCATAAGAGGAAACCCGCCCCGCCCTGCATCAAACAAAACCCGCCCCGCCCCCCACCCGCCCCGCCCCATTGCCATCCCTACCCGATGTTGGTGTTTGCATAATTGTTTTTTGACTATTTACCTTAATCAAAGGCGTAAGCAAAGAATGAAAACTCCTATTCTCGCCTTTCAAATGAAGTTCCCAAATTTTAAGAGCAGCTGCGCTAGGAAAGATTTTCTCTCAAACTTGTATGGAAGTCATTTAGTAATCGTCCTTAATTCCATTTTGTGATCTCTACATATATACTTCTATTAATAGTTAATGGGGAAGTGCACGGTTGGCCACTAATAACACATGTATTTACTTTTAAGCCACCGTTTAAAATGTCTTTAGTCTTTAGCGACTGCTTTAATAAACTTTAACTGCCCGGACGAAAATACCCTTCTGCTCATGTCCTTAACTTTTGTACTTAACTTCAGGACTTCAGGACTACATGTCCTTAACTTTTGAACTTGGAACTCTAAGTTCAGGACTTCAAGGCTACATGTCCTTAACTTTTGAACTTGGAACTCAAACTTCAAGACCAAGCGTCCTTAACTTTTGAACTTGTAAGTCAAAGTTAAGGACCTATTGTCCTTAACTTTTGAACTTGTAACTGTAAGTTAAGGACTGCTTGTCATTAACTTTTGAACGTGTAACTGTAAGTTAAGGACTGTCTGTCCTTAACTTTTGAACTTGAAAATCAAAGTTAAGGACCTATTGTCCTTAACTTTTGAACTTGTAACTATAAGTTAAGGACTGTTTGTCCTTAACTTTAGAACTTGTAACTGTAAGTTAAGAACTGCCTGTCCTTAACTTTTGAACTTGTGTCCTTAACTATTGAACTTAACTTTAGGACTTCAAGACTACATTTCCTTGCTACCAAGTACTTGTATTTCATCTGAAGTGACTGAAGGAGTTTCCTGTTCAACATTTTGCGAGACTATTTCTATCTCTGGATCAATATCATAAGGAACTTCTTCGTCACTATCACCATTTGACTCAGAATCCGCAATCTTTGTATTAGCAGCTGTTTTCAAAACCAAAAGTATCTTTGTCAATCATAACAGTAGTGAAAAAGCGCAAATTAAAAACACCGGAGAATACGAAGTCTTTATGTTTTGAATGCATCGGTGTATTTCCGTTTGGGGAGGAAAGGGTAACACAGTCTTTTCATATTAATTTTAATAGATTAGTGGCTATTATTGCTAAGTATTAAAAATACTGGATAAAAAGTAAATACCAGCTTAAACAGTGGCTACCCCACGCCATTTCTACAATATTTTTCACTTTTTTTTTGTGGGTTTGAGTTAGGAGATGTGATACCCTTTAGTCTTGTGTTTATCTTTGTGAATTCAGTGCAAAGACCCAATTTTTATTGTTCTTTTTAATCTTGTTTTTTGTGAGTTTTGGATACTGATTTGTGAACTGGTTTTCATTATTCTTTTTTCTCGTTTTTTGTGGGTTTGGGTTCCGATGTGTGATACTCTTTATTCTCATGTTTATCCTTGTGAATTCAGTGTAAAGAACTAATTTTTCTTATTATTTCCTTCCTTTATTTGGGTTTGGTTTCTGACGTTTTGATGTACTTTACTCTCATGTTTTTTCTTTGAGAATTTAGCTTACAAACGAACTGATTTTTCTTATTCTTTCTTCTCTTTTTTTGGGTGGGCTTTATTAAATTGAGACACGACCAGATTGAGCAAAATGAATATTGGTTATTCTCTTATTTCAGCTTTCAAGTCTGAGAGAAGAGAGAAGGGGGATTAGGTGGATGGGAGTAGGTGTGTTTGAGTCCGGAATCTAAATATTATTTTTTTGGACTTAAAGTACATTAATAAGTGTAAAAAAAAAAAGTTACCTTTCTATATGTAGCGTCCAAATACAAGAAGCTATACCTTAACGGTAACTTTTGCCGTTAAGATATAGCGTCTTGTATTTAGACGCTATACTACCTGACGATTTGACTGACATATATAGCATCCTCAATTCATACGCTATACATATAGCGTCCAAAAAGAAAACGCTATACCCCTAATTAAATATCGCCCTTCGTCTTCTTCTCCGATCAGAAACCCCTTTCCCCCATTTTTTTTAACCTTACTGCTTCTGGTCCCCCCTCCCCCCCCCCCTGCTGGTTTTTTAAAAAAAAATTGTGGGCCCCTCCCATCACACAAAAGGTAAAGAACGTAGGTCCCACATTGTAGTAGAGCATCGTATTATTGTGGTTTAACTCCTTCGTCTTCAAATTTTCAAACTTCCCACTACATCGAGGTATTTCGATTTATTTTTATGTCGAAACTTGTATAATAATGTATATTAGTTGATTGATGTGATTCTATGTCGACTTGTGTTTTATTTGCGAAACTAGTATGTTATATCTATCCGGACTTAGATATTAGTGGTCTAAAAAAAAATGTAAAATTGAGATTTAATTTTTTATGTTAATATCCGGACTTAGATATTAATGTTTCCATGTCGTTTTGTGTTTTATTTGCGAAACTGTATGTTATATGTAATTTTGTGAATGTTATGTGATTAAAATGTATTTGTTGTTTATATTCAGTTTATTTATTAGCGTAGTAAAATGTAGAACCTTTTAGCATAGTAACTGTATAGTATTTTAGCATAGAATCCCTGTAGTTTAAGTATTTCTTATACTGGTAGATAAAAATATATACTTTGTTCAATTAAATAATCAAAATATTGAATTTGACACACATAATTATTCATGATAATTTGGTGCTACTGGGTCTCAAATATCGAGCCTGGAACCCAATAGGTACATATACTTTGTACAATTAAATAATTATAAATCAATAATTTAAACTGTAAAACAAACACACACAAAATTATCAAAATATTGAATTTGACACACATAAATATTCATGATAGTTTGGTGCTACTGGGCCTCAAATATCGAGCCCGGAACCCAATAGCTATATATATTCTGTACAATTAAATAATTAAAAATTAAGAATTTAAATTATAAAACAAACACACACAAAATTATCAAAATATTGAATTTGACACAAATAAATATTCATGATAGTTTGGTGCTATTGGTTCTCAAATATCGAGCCTGGAACACAATAGGTATATACACTTTGTACAATTAAATAATTATAAATTAAGAATTTAAACTATAAAACAAACACAGACAAAATAATCAAAATATTGAATTTGACACACATAAATAGTCATGATAGTTTGGTGCTACTGGGCCTATCGAGCCTAGAACCCAATAGGTATATATATTTTGTACAATTAAATAATTAAAAATTAAGAATTTAAATTATAAAACAAACAGACACAAAATTATCAAATATTGAATTTGACCCACATAAATATTCATGATAGTTTGGTGCTACTGGACCTAAAATATCGAGTCTGGAACCCAATAGGTATATATATTTTGTACAATTAAATAATTAAAGATTAAGAATTTAAATTATAAAACAAACACACACAAAATTATCAAAATATTGAATTTGACACACATAAATATTCATGATAGTTTGGTGCTACTGGGCCTCAAATATCGAGCATGGAACCCAATATAATGAAACTCTTATTCTACGCTCTTCAGACATTACGAAAAAAAATGCTTAAGAATTTAACAAGAAAAAATTGAATGGGAGTTAGAATTTTTTGTTAACGAATTTTCCTAAAATCCTAACCACTTTATATAAAAAATGGATATCCCGGGATATGGAATTTTTTTTGATGTATAGCGTTCTTTAAATATATGCTATACACATTTAAATTATTGTTATGTCAGTTAACTTATTGGTGAGTCCATAATCAGGGTATAACATTTTCTTTTTGGACGCTATATGTATAGCGTATGAATTGAGGACGCTATATATGTCAGTCAAATAGTCAGGCAGTATAGCATCCAACCCAGTTCCCCCTCTCTCTTTCTTGGGGTTTAGGAGGAGGAGATTGACAGACTATACAAGGAAGGAGACGAGATGACTATAAATAGGAAGAGGGAAATCATCAACAAATTATCTTCTTTTTCCGTGACTTTGGAAGTTTTCAAGCCTCTCGTCCGATAAAATAGAACCTAGAATTTTGTGCATTTGATTTGAAGAGAATAACTGCATATGTTTTCCCGTTGTCCTAAACTTAGAGTTTCAAGTTTAAGAAATAAGGACATGTAGTCCTGAACTTAGAGTTACAAGTTCAAAAGTTAAGGATAGGTAATCCTAAACTTAGAGTTACAAGCTCAAAAACTAAGGACATGTAGTCCTTAACTTAGACTAACAAGCTCATAAATTAAGGACAACTAGTCCTGAACTTATAGTAACAAGCTCATAAGTTAAGGACATGTAGTCCGGAACTTAGAGTTCCAAGTTCAAAAGTTAAGGACAAGTAGTCCTAAACTTAGAGTTACAATTTCAAAAACTAAGGACAAGTAGTCCTTAACTTAGACTTACAAGCTCATAAATTAAGGACAACTAGTCCTCAACTTACATTAACAAGCTCATAAGTTAAGGACACTTGGTCCTGAACTTAGAGTTGGAAGTTCAAAAATTAAGGATTGGTCCTTAACTTAGAGTTACAAGCATAGAAACTAAGGACATGTAGTCTTTAACTTAGAGTTACAAGCACATAAATTAAGGACAAGTAGTCCTTAACATAGAGTTACAAGCACAGAAATTAAGGACATGTGGTCCTGACTTCGAGTTCCAAGTTCAAAAGTTAAGGACATGTTGTCCTGAACTTAGAGTTACAAGTTCAAAAGTTAAGGATAGGTAGTCCTAAATTTAGACTTACAAGTTCAAAAATTAAGGACAATTAGTCCTTAATATTTACACAGCATTCATGAAGTTAAGGACATCATGTCCTTAATATTTTACACAGCATTCATGAAGTTAAGGACATCATGTCCTTAATATTTACACAGCACCCATGTCTAACACAGGGGTATTTCGTTCGGGCAGGTAAAAGATTATTAATCACTGGCTAAAAAGTAAATACATCCTAAACCGTGGAAAAAGAGTAAAGACATCTTTAAATAGTGGCTAACCGTGCACTTCCCCCTTTATATAAAGTGAAATTAGGAGTCACGTGGCTCAATAAAATACTGCCAACGTATTAAAAGTTGGGCCCATATCTAGTGCCGTTAAAAGAAGAGGTATTTTTAGTAATAGAATAATGAAGGGGATATTTTTGGACCAAAAGCTCCACGTAGACCATTTCTCCGTACTCCTTATATATATATATGCCAACTGCTTGGGGATCCAATTACCGTATTAAAAAATCTCTCACTCACTAAATTGGATCAAATTTGAACAAAGTAGAGATGCTATTGATGGCCACCTCCATAAGACCTGCAGCTCCTTCTCTTTCCTATTTCAGTGGTAGAAAGGCATCACTTGTATCAAAAGCCAAAGCCTGCAGCATGTCTAAAGCTAACTCCACTAGTCCAAAAGCTGAACCACCATTGAGTCACAACTCTATTCCCACAAATATGAATACCCATAGGCGTTCTGGGTATTACAAACCTCCTACCTGGCCTTTCGAATATATCCAATCCATTAACAATGATTATGTGGTACAGCCTGTTATTATTAAGTCTTTCTTGTTAATTATTCAAAGATAATGCTAATATCTCAGTGTGCTATATTTGCATGGATCAGAATCACGTGAATATTTTATCAGATGATCATTATATTAGTTAGTTAATGTTTTTACTTAAAAAATTTGCGTACGTAGGGAAAGAACTATGTGAAGCGATTTAATGAACTGAAGGAGGAAATACGGAAGAAGTTGAAGATACACGATATTGATGGAGCAGAATTAGACAAGCTGGAGCTGATTGACAACTTACAAAGACTTGGACTGAGTTACCACTTTAAGGAAGAAATCTTTCAAATTTTGAGAAGCATACACCAACAACAAATATTACAGCAGGAAGGCAGAAACGTAGTCTCAGGAGAATATTCATTATTATACGCCACATCATTGAAATTTAAACTCTTGAGAGAATATGGTTTTGATATCTCTCAAGGTATGCACGTACTGTTCATCTGTGCCTGTTTTGGGGTCCTTTTTCATGATCTTATATTCTCTTGGTTATATTATGTCTTTTAGCATAGACGAGTAAGACAACATCTTCAATGCTGTCATGTCGACATACACATACATACATGTGAAAACCTGCATTAATGATTAACTTTAATTACACTAATAAAATGTAATAATTAAATGAAATACAAATAATTCCATGTTTAAAGTGCAAGAAAGTTATTACTAATTGTTGCTATTATAGCCTGTTTGGTCAAACTAAAATCAACTTATTTTGAAAGGTATTCTTTTCTTCTCAAAAGTGCTGTTTAAAAAAATATTTTTGGTGAAAAGCGATTTGTGTTTGTCTAATCAATTTAAAAATTATTTTTGAGCAATAATTAGTGTTTGGCGAAACTTTTAAAAAGTGATTCGTAAGTGTAGTTTTTCTCAAAAGTGCTTTTAAAAAAAGATACCTTTTCTGCCTCTCAAAAACTACTTCTACTCAAAAGCACTTTTTCCCTTTTAAAAGTTTGGCCAAACACCTTAGCTTTGGAAAAAAGTACTTTTGCTAAAAAAAAAAAAATACTTTTGGCCAAAAAGAAACTTAACCAGATAGGTTATAAGTACTTATTCATTTCTTATTCATCAGTTTCGAAAATACATGTTTCAAAAAAAAATTGTTCTCTTTTTTAATCAAGGGCGTGAATAAAAAATTTCAACACAATATATTCATTTTCTTTTTAAAATTTCATAAATATAGAAACACAAATACCTTTTATATATAATATAACTTTTTAATAATTATATTTTAATAATTATATTTTAATATACTTAGTTACGATATACCTCATATGGCCGGGGTGTAAGCGTAGATTTCTATAGTATAAGGTGTGTAATTAAGTATTTGATTTTAAAGGGGTCTAAAACTGAATCATATAATATAGATGTTATAAAAATTTCTCATTTTAATTTTTAGTTTATTTATTTATTATTCCGCTTAAAAGTTATCTTAATTTTCTTAACTAGTTGCAGTTTCATTTGTATAGAATTTTCATTATTTAAGAGGTTTAAGCTTTTTTAGAAAAATATTTGGAATATTTAAGAGTTCCGAAAGATAAAATATTTTGCCATATACATAATATGCATGAACAAGATTATTAACAAAAATATTATTTTTTTAAAAAACCTCAAAAAATAGATATATAAGAACTTTTCATTTACGAATTTGATTTGTCTTTTTGTAATTATATTTTAATATACTTAGTTACAAATATACTTCATAAGAGGTATAAGCATAGGATTTTCATAATAAGGTGCAAGTATTTGACACTAGCTAAAATATAGAGAGTGTATTCGAAACTAAATCATACTATAAGAGTGTTTAATATAATTAACCCAAAATTAAATTATTATAGTATTAGATACACAATTCAAGAGTTACCAATGTAAAGAAAGAATAACTAACTCATAATTGATAGAGCTATCAATGTTTTAAAAAGAATATACATTAAGACCTCTATATAACAATTTCTATATTATAATATTTTATTATAAAAGCTAAATTATTTTGGAATCGATGTTTTTATGTTATATATTCTATCTCTCGCTAAACAGTATTTTACCAATTATTAATGACAATATCCATCTTTATTGCGATACGGTTTTTTTTTGGGGGGTAAAATTACCCCTCTATAAATAACAATCATCTTTATAGATATATAGCCTCTATGATTACCAATAATCGGTCTCTATGACAGAATATTATGCGAATATATATATATATATATATATATATATATATATATATATATATATAAAATTAAAGAATTCATTCTGTGAAAGATCTGTACAAATATTTAGATTTTTTTCTTCTCTTTGTTTAGATACGTTGAACAATTTCAAGATTGAGGTCGGTAATTTCAAGGAAAGTCTTGGTAAAGACATAAAATGATTGTTACAATTGTACGAAGCTTCGTTTTTTGCTACAGAAACAGAAAACACTTTGAAATTCGCCACAAAAGTCACAAAGTCGGAGTTGAAGAATTATCTTGAAAATTATGAATACAGTGAGGAGAATGTAACAACAACATTAGTCCGCCATGCGTTGGAGCTCCCTTCTCATTGGATGATGTTGAGATTAGAGACAAGGTGGTACTTAAACGTTTATGAGAAAATGCCAAACGCTAATCCTCTTCTGCTTGAGCTTGCCAAGTTGGACTTCAACATTGTTCAAGCAACACATCAACAAGAATTAAAAGATGTATCAAGGTGTGACATCTCTCTTATATATATATATATATAATATATATATTAGGTTTACCAAATATCTGAAGGTTAATTCATTAGGAGAAACCTAAAAAGTATTTTACTTAATTGTTTAGAACATGTTTTGATGAGTAACTAATTATATTTAAAGGTGGTGGAAGAACACATGCCTGGCAAAGAAGTTGCCATTTTCAAGGGACAGATTGGTGGAGTGTTTCTTTTGGGCAGTAGGGATGGTACTCTTTGAGCCTCAACAAGGACACTGCCGAGTAAATCTGGCAAAGATCAATGCTCTTGCTACAACTCTTGATGATATTTACGATATTTATGGGACTTATCATGAGTTACAACTCTTCACTGATGCTGTAGAAAGGTAATTTTAGGAAAGCAACTAATCACTATTGTGCTTTCTCTAATTAATTACCCCTCTATTGACAAGTGGGTTGCTCAAGTGATGAGCACCCTTTACTTCCAATCAATAGGTTGTGAGTTTGAGTCACCCCAAAAGCAAGTTAGGGAGCTCTTGGAGGGAGGGAATAAAAAAAAAACCCCTCTATTAGTTCTCCTTTCTCTTGTGTTTAGAATGTGAAAATGTATTTTCTGGTAATAATTAATTTATAAATTCAGATGGGACTTAAAAGCAATGGAGCAACTTCCAGAATACATGAAAGTAATGTACCTTGCGATGTTCAACACAATCAATGAAATTGTGTACGAAGTTCTTAAAGAGCAGGGTATCAACGTCCTACCCTACCTTATAAAACCAGTAAGAATATCGTTCTAGTTAGTACCACAGATAAAACATGCCTCCTATTTTATTAGTTTCCTATCTAATCTGCTATTTGAAACACATTTTAATTAATTAGTGGACAGATTTGTGCAAAGCTTACTTGCGAGAAGCAAGATGGTACTATAATGGATATAAGCCAACTATGCAAGAATACATGGATAACGCATGGATCTCAGTTGCAATGCCTATGATATTAACCCACACATTCTTCTTAGTTACCAACCCAATTACCAAAGAGGAATTGGAATCATTAAGCAAGTACCCAGACATAATTCGATGGTCTTCAACAATTGTTCGCTTCGCCGATGATTTAGGGACATCTTCGGTATGCTTTTATACTTTTCTTTCACATGAACATGAAATTTGTATGGCTCCTCATTCTAATCTACTTTATGGTCCAATTGAATGGAGATATATGTGATTAAAGAAAGAGATTTCAAATTTTGTAAATGTTATAACATTTTAAACTATCATAATGACATATGTATTCCAAATAGGAGATGAACGAATTGCAATGAGTTTGTATTTCAAATTCAATTTTGTTTAGGTCTATAGTAACAAGGGCAACAAATTTAAGCCTATAATTTTTGAAATATATGTATTATATATAGTTAGGTTTCAAATCCCTCCAGAAAAGTAAGCCTTTTTCTTCCGTTCGGATCAAAGTAGTATGAAATATATGGCCTTTAAAAATAATAAATGGACATTGCAAATACACGATATCTCATATAATTTATCTTTTCCTATATTTATTTCAGGATGAATTGAAAAGGGGGGACGTTCCAAAGTCAATCCAGTGTTACATGAACGAAACGGGCGCTTCCGAAGAAGAGGCAAGAGAACACGTACAATATTTGATAAAGGAGACATGGGAAATGTTGAACAAAGCTCAGACAGAAAACTTGTTATTTTCCGGAATGTTTGTTGAAATTGCAAAGAATACTGCAAGAACGGCACAGTGCATGTATCTGCATGGAGATGGGCATGGAATTCAAAACGCTGAAACTAAAAATAGCATATCCAAAATACTTTTTGAGCATATCACAGTTCCAAATCCATTCATGAGTCCCAATTCATCCCCATAATTAAAGCTAGATACTAGTATAATTTATTTGTATTAAATAAGACTCTTAACGTGTGCATGCGTAATACTATTTGTGAAAGCAGTAGTGAGTAAGAGAAAGTAGTCAACTTATTAATTACGCGATATATATCTTGTTTTGATGGTTGTTACCCATCATTTTACAATGTAGGTGTGAATAGATTGTATCATTTGATATATTTTAATAACATTCTTATTATTTGATTTAACGGGTCGTATTGAATGATAACTATTAAATTTACTAAAATATGTTCAATTGTTATAAATATAAGATTTATGTAACGATTCGACCGGCCGTTTTGTGCTCTAGAGCGTCGTTCGGCGGTTTGAGGCCTTGAGTAGCTTCACTTCAGGTATTATGACTTGTACGTGTGGTCGCGGTTGAATTTCGGAAAGTTCGGAGTTGATTTGGAAAGAAAATTCTAATATCGGAAGCTTTAAGTTGGAGGAATTCTAATGTTTGACTTTTGAGTAAACGATCTCAGAATCGGGATTTGAAGGTTCCAACAGGTTTGTATGATGATTTTTGGCTTGGGCGTATGTACGGATCAAGTTTTCGATGAACCGGGAGTGTTTCGGCGCCTATTGTGGAAAATTGGCATTTTGGAAGGATTTCATAAATTTAGGTTGAAGTGTATTTTAATATTATCGATGTCCGTTTGGAATTTTGAGTCTGAGAATAGCTCCGTATAGTGATTCTTGTCTTAAGAGAGTGTCCGGATGTCGATTTGGAGGTCCGTAGGTCATTTCGGGGTCATTTGGTGGAAGTTGGAAACTTGAAAGTTTTGGGAAGTTCGACCGGGAGTGGACTTTTTGATATCGAGGTCGGATTCCGATTCCGGAAGTTGGAGTAGGTCCGTAATGTCAAATGTGACTTGTGTGCAATATTGGAGGTCAATCGAACGTGATTTGATAGGTTTCAGCATCAGATGTAGAAGTTTGAAGTTCTTAAGTTCATTAAGCTTGAATTAGGGTGCAATTTGTGGTTTTAGCATTGCTTGATGTGATTTGAAGGCTTGACTTCGTATTATATTTTGGGACGTGTTGGTATATTGGTTGGGGTCCCGAGGGCCTCGGGTGAATTTCGGATGGTCAACGGATCGAATTTGGATTCGGAGGAAGAGCTGAAGCAGCTGGGCATCTGGTGCAATCGCACCTGCATGAAAAGGGCCGCAGGTGCGAGCCCGCAGAAGTGGCCCATTGGTCGGAGAAGTGGAAGGGAGTGAGGGACTGGGAGTCCGCAGGTGCGGAAGATTTTCTGTAGAAGCGGATGCGCACCTCCGGACGAAGGAGCGCAGAAACGGAGGAGCTGGCCTTGGGGGAGAGCCGCACCTGCGAGGAATCCTCTGCAGAAGCGGAGGCGCAGAAGCGGCTAAAGGACCACAGGTGCGAAGGCCGGGTTGAGCAGTGAGTTGTCTTAAGACGGGATTTGGCCCATTTCTTTCATTCTCTCTTGGTTTGGGCGATTCTTGGAGAGCTTCAAGTGGAGGTTTTCATCATCAATGGCAAGGTAAGTTATCCCCACCTATTGTGAGTTAAATACAAGGATTTTATAAGGATTCAAGCATGAAAATTTGTAGAATTTTGAAGAAAAACCTAGAAATTGATATTTTTGGATTTTGACCACAAATTTGACCATGGAATTTGGAATAAATTATATATTTGAGTTAGTAATGTTATGGGTAGTGTTTATCTTAAAAGAATTTCATAATCTGGGCACGTGAGCCCGAGGGTTGGGTTTATCGATTCATTGAGCAGAGTTGGAAATTATTATAATTTGATTTATAATAAGTATTAGAGTATATATTTATGGATTCGCACATTGATTGACTGATTTTGGAACGACGGGCACCGATTTGAGGTGTTAGAGCGATGTTGGAGCCAATTATGAAACTTCGGAGCGAGGTAACTCTATTTTCTAACCTCGTAAGAGGGAATTAACCCTGTAGGTGAATTGAATTAATATGTGCTTCTATTTGTGGGGGCTACGTACACACGAGGTGACGAAAGTCCGTACGTAGCTACTAATTATGCTTATGTCCGGGTAGTCTTAGGTTTACACCATGCCTTATTGATACCGTTATTTGATTATGCTTATTATTTGCCTTGAAAACAGTTAAGATTGAGGATTTCGAGATTTAAAAGTTTTCAGTTTGAATTTCTGATTTTTGAAAAGAATTGAGGAATATTATGATAACTTTGAGAAATCTATGTTTACTCGCGTCGCAAGTATATTCCGCAAGCGAGGTAAATTCCACTACTCTCATGGGAGCGGGCCGTTTGCGTCGGTAGGTTAATAGATGCATCTATGGTTCGTGACATTCGATCCTCAGCAATGCACAATTTATATAGTGGTATGTTGGATCGGGCCGCACGACCTCGGCATAATTCGTGCGTAATAATTCTTGGAGCCAATTATAATTGATATTGTTTCATTAGCTTGAGAGATTAAATTGTTAAATGATGGAAATTAAATTGAGATTTATTGTTAGTGAAAGGATTGTTTATGTATTTCTTGTTATTGAGTTTTCAGCTGTATTTATATAATCCATGCTTAATTATAATTTTGGTACTTCATTGTTAGCCCATAGTAAATGTTGGAGTCGACCTCTCGTCACTACTTCTTCGAGATTAGACTAGATACTTACTGGTATGCATTGATTTACGTACTCATGCTACACTTGCTACACATTTTGTGCAGGTAAATATATGTCTAGAGGTCCTGTGGGCGCAGAGGCACGGCTATTGCGGGGAATTACGGTAGCTGCATTCCATGTACGAATCCGCAGCCTGCAGAGTCTCCATCTGTCACGACCCGGATTTCCCACCCTCAGGAGTTGTGATGGCGCCTACTCAAAGAAGCTAGGCCAACCACGAAATACAGAAATTCTAACTCTTTCATTTTTAATGCTTTTTAATAACTTGTAATAACAGGTGATCAACATTTAAATAATAGCAAAAGATGGATTTAAGCGGAAGACTTAAAATAAACATAATACCAAAATCGATACGAAAAGCCAACATATGTCTCTACCCAGAAACCGGTGTCACAACATTCACGGACTGTCTATGATTACTACATACAAATGTCTGAAAGAAACTCAGTCTGTCTCGGATACAAGTGATAATAGAACTTAATAGTAGATAGAAGAGACGCCGGGCCTGCGGACGCCTACACGACTACCTCGGGATCTCTGTGGACTGAAGGCTGGCTCCCAAGCTACTGCTGCTGTCCCAAAACTGCTCCGGTATCTGCACTGAGTGCAGAGTGTAGCATCAGCACAACCGACCCCATGTGCTGGTAAGTGCCTGGCCTAACCCCGGCGAGGTAGTGACGAGGCTAGGACCAGACTCTAGATAAACCTGTGCAGTTATATATATATATATAGCGGAAAAATAAACTAGAACAAACAATTAAAGCTAGGAAGGGGAAACATGCTTCAGGGAATAACAGATAAAACATAATCTCAAGAGAATTATCAAGAAACCAAAATTTAACTTCTAACAAGAATAAGAAAAAAAGGCAGATTTCACTCTCGGTCCACATCTCGTTGCAGGCGTGCAACCCGATCCCATTTCTCATATCTTGTGGTAGGCGTACCACCCGATCCCATTTCATTATATCTCGTGGTAGGCGTACCACCCGATCCCATTTCATTATATCTCGTGGTAGGCATACCACCCGCTCCCATTTTATAATATCTTGTGGTAGGCATACCACCCGCTCCCATTTACAGGCCAACACATAATCACAAGGAATCCCGACAAGGGAACAAAAGTAATATAATAACTTCCCGGCAAGGGAACAAAAGCAATGTAATAACTTCATGGCAAGGGAGTAACAATATCAAGACAAACATCCCGGCAAGGGAGAATCAGCTATAACCAATCCTAACTCAACTCCTACTCAGCTCAATTAGTACCAACACTCAATCATAAATAAAATCCATGAAAATAAACTAAATCTTTGCTCAATATCAAGAATCATCAACTAAAGCATCCGTAGTAACATTTAAGAACACAACCTCTATCAATTCAAGATTCACGGCATGCTCGACACCAACATATAGATACTCGTCACCATGCCTATATATCGTACTCAACAAGAAGTAATTAGCAAATAGGACACAACTCCTAATCCCTAGGGAAAAGGTTAGACCGGACACTTACCTCGAACTTCCACGGCCAACTCAAGCCTCAAACACCGCCTTTCCTTTCGAATTCGACTCCAAATCAATTGTATCTAGACATAATCGACTCAATAACATCAATAAACGCCAAACAATCCAATTCCGATGCTTAATTATAACTTTCCGATCATTCTTTCCAAAAACCCAAAAATTGACCCCGGTCCCGCTTGGTCGAAACACGAGGTTCGGACCAAAATCCAATCACCCATTCACCCACGAGCCCTAATATGTGATTTATTTTGAAATCCGACCCCAAAACGAGGTCAAATTCCCAAATAATCAAAAAGCCCTAACTCTACCCAATTCCCCAATTTTCTACCATTAAAACCCTAAGATTATTGATAAAAGTTGATGAAAAACATTAGATAGTTGAAAGAAATCAGTTAATGAATACTTACTTGTGATTTGGGAAGAAAATCTCTTGAGAAAATCGCCCTAGTTCTTCTATTTTTTGTGAAAGTTTGAAAGAAAATCGCTGAAGTTATGTTTTTAAAAGACACACTGCCCGAATTCCGCATCTGCGACTCGAGGGTCGCATCTGTGAAACCGCACGTGCGGAAGAATGGTCGCTGCTGCGAAAATGACTTGGCCCACTGGGGCCGCATCTGCGAAGGAGGAATCTGCTCCTGCGGAACCGCTTCTGCAGAATTTTGCCCGCATCTGCGAAGGATTCCGCACCTGTGATGCACTTCTCGCAACCTGCGAGTCCGTATCTGCGGCCCAAGAACCGCAGGTGCGGTTACACCAGAACTGGTGCAACAACAGCATTTTTCCTAAGATTAAACACTCCAGAACCTACCCGAAACTCACCCGAGCCCTCGGGGCTCCAAACCAAACATGCGTACTAACCCAAAAACATCATATGAACTTATCCGTGCGATCAAATTGCCAAAATAACCTATCATACAACGAATTAAACCTCAAAATCAATGAATTCCTTCAAACTTCTTAAAACATCAATTTTAGCAACTTAGGTCCGAATCACGTCAAATGACATCCGTTTCTCACCAAATTTCACA